TACAACTTGTACAATATGGGCACTATTTCCATGTGTTGATCCCATGGGACACTCATTAGCGACCACAACTATTATTTTCTTTACAGATATAAACAAAAGTTTGTCAGAAAGGGTGCAAGATGTCCTCGTTTTAGCAAATTCAAAAATTTATCCCGGGGGAAATAATAGCTCATTGTTTAGAGTTTTTCCTTTTAGCCACTATGTTTACCAATTTAAATTTTACGTACCAATGCATACGAAACAACACTTAAGGTTTCGTCAAAGGTCAACATGTCTAAAAATTATTTTTACAATTGCTCCAAAAGTATGTGTGGTATGAAGTCAAAACGTTTACATTTTGTAAATATATTTCTGATTAATAGATAAAAAGTATTACTTGATAACAAATATTTTTTGACGATAGAAACAGTTTTTTAATTAAAATTAAAACATGTAAATAACAATCTTAATGGTATATAGTGTGTGGGTACAAGAAAAACGTATAACCGCACAGATTCTAAGATTTTACATTCAAAATATCAAATCTAGATTATGAAGTGTGATAAAAATATATAGACTAATAATTATAGTTGCAGAAAGATTGAATCCGATCATGAAATAAATCTGACATATTCCGAGTACATAATAAATCATTTACTACTAAAATTACATTATTTACAACCAAAATAATATATACCGATCCAAACATCCATATTTTAGTTTATTTCATTTGTATTCAAAGCTACTAGCTCAAGACATTCTACTGCCCTTTGCAAAATGGCGTCATAGAACACTGTATTAAACATAGGTAATCAGAGATTACAGAGCTCACTTCAACGTGTGTTGTCTTTAAGTAAGGCAAATTAAGTCACACAATTAACCAACAAAAAGTGTACATCCAAAAATGCAAAATTTATGCAAATTTGATACTTTGGAATAGACCTATATAAAAACTAAAAACTAGTTCTTCATCATGAAAATGTAATTAAAATCCAGCATCTGAAGCAAGATTGAGAGTTTTCATCCCTTGATGCATCATTTGTGCAACTGGTTTATATAAGCCTAATAGTTTCTTGGTGATAGATTTGCACCCATAACTTTTACGAGGTCTATTATCTGGAAAATGTATGTCGAATTCAGCATCTGAAGCAAGTCCATTACTGTGCATCCTAAGATGCATCATCCATGCAAGTTTGGTCAACAAAGGGCTTAAAGTTACTTGCAAATGAAACCTTTATAAAAAAATTAACCTTTCCACTAATCCAGAAAATGTAGGTCAGATTCAGCATCCGAAGCCAGCCAAGTAGAATGCACCCTTAGATGTACCATCCATGCAAGTTTGGTCATTATAGAGCTCAAAGTTACTTGGAAATGAATCCTGTACCATAAACTTTAACCTGTGTACTCATCCAGAAAATGTAGGTCAGATTCAGCATCCGAAGCAAGTCTGGTAGTATGCATCCTAAGATGTACCATCCATGCAATTTAGTAGTTATAGGGTTCATAGTACTGTACCTTGGAAATGAAACCTGCATCCAAAATTTTAACCTGAACACTCAACCGGAAAATGTAGGTCAGATTCAGCATCTGAAGCAGGTCTTGTAATATGCATCCTAAGATGTACCATCCATGCAAATTGGTCATTATATGTCTCATAGTAGCTTGGAAATGAAACCTGAAACAAAAACTTTAACCTGTTCACTCAACCGGAAAATGTAGGTCAGATTCAGCATCCGAAGCAAGTCTAGTAGATTACATCCTAAGATGTACCATCCATGCAAGTTTGGTCATTATAGGGCTCAACGAATCTTCAAAATGAAACCTTCACCAAAAACTTTAACCTGTTCACTCAACCGGAAAATGTAGGTCAGATTCAGCATCCGAAGCAAGTCTAGTAGAATACATCCTAAAATGTACCATCCATGCAAGTATGGTCATTATAGGGCTCAAAGTATCTTCAAAATGAAACCATCACCATAAACTTTAACCTGTTCACTCAACCGGAAAATGTAGGTCAGATTCAACATCCGAAGCAAGTCTAGTAGATTACATCCTAAGATGTACCATCCATGCAAGTTTGGTCATTATAGGGCTCAAAGTATCTTCAAAATGAAACCATCACCAAAAACTTAAACCTGTTCACTCAACCGGAAAATGTAGGTCAGATTCAGCATCCGAAGCAAGGCTGGTAGTATGCATCCTTGGATGTATCATCCATGTAAGTTTGGTCAACATAGGGCTTATAGTTACTCGGGAATGAGACTTACACCAAAAACTGCACCAAAAATGTTAACCTGCACCCTAAACATTAGTCTGGTACAATGAAACACACTAGCAACATCTTCCATGCATGTGTAATCAATATAAGACATAGAAGTACTTAAAAAGAAAACTGCTCCAAAAAACTTAACCTTAACCCGGGACGCCGACGCCGACACCGACGCCGACGCCGAGGGTATCACATAAGCTCCCCCCAACTTCGTTGAGGTGAGCTAATAAATGACTTGTTAAGCATGTTAAGGTATCAAAGTGATAGAATATTCAACAGCATAATATCTTGAATTTTTGTCATTTATTTTCATGTTGGTATCTATTGCTATGATAATGTCACAGGAAATAGAAAACAAGCCCCTAATGTCATAACATTTGAGCAAAAAAAAAAAAAACAAACAAACAAACGTGTACGCAGTACTTGTAGCGAAGATTTATTTTTGCAATTTTTTTAGCGAAAGTGCTAGATTCGCTAAAATTGAATGTAATGGCTCTTTAGTGAGCTTTTTATAAATCGTTAAAATAACATCTCGCTAAAATAAAATAATTTTTTTTTTTTTGAAAAATCGCTTAATTTTAGTTTTGCTTAAATTTCTACGTATACGGTATGATGAAAAGTTTTCAATCTCTCATAAAAAAAATTATAAAAAAAATGACAAGGTATGTGTCTAAAATGTAAAATTACTTCGAGAGATTTTTATGTCTCTAATGTTAGTTTGTATATTTCTATCAGTTGTGGGACCTTCCTTTTTATACTAAATTTGACTAGGGAATATTTCATCAACCCCATAAATACAATTGTACATAATACATTATACAGTTAGACATATTTTTTACGTATGTAACGCGTCCTATAAGCTTTTCTTTCTATACATCTGGGGCCCGTTTCAAAAACGTTTCCTAAGATATGTCCTAAGACATAACTTAAGATATGCCTAAGTTATAACTTAGGAAGTTCCTAAGATTTGTCACAACCGTTTCACGAAACAATCTTATCTTAAATTTTTCCTAAGTCGTTTCTTAAGTTGTGTATAATTTAAAGACTAATGAAATACCTCTCCGCTCTATCTACAACTCTCAGTATGTCAGTATGGGTTATATTTTTAGCTTCAAAGATGGAGGGGCGGGAGCATTGGGGATTAACTCCCACTTTCAAAGGACTTGGAGAAAAGATATAGTATATTTTAACTTTGCGAAGTTTGCCGCTAGAACTAAGCATTCACAGACACATCATTTCAAGCCCTCTTCCCTTCCGGGCACCCGATATTTGTATTTTTAAAAAACTGTTCTACGTGTTATACGTTTAATTTATTTTGCTCTTTATAGGGTATCTAATTGTAAATGAAATTCAAAAATGATTGCTTCGTAGCGAACACATGCACATGTGAGGACATTCTTTTAAAAAAAAATATTTGCCAATGACAACTCAACGTTAGTTATTCGTGCTGTATATATAAAGCTTTCTCAAATAGATAAAATAAGAATGCCATACCAGAAAAAAATCTCAAATTCGCGACTACAGATATGAAAATACTAAATAAAAGAATTTTAAAAAGGGAAATCTATTGAAATCTCATGCATGGCTATACATTGTATTAAATTAAGCGGAGAGGAAAACTGGTTGTAATCTCATGGTCGGAAGAACTGACGGAGCACAGGGTGGGGGGGGGGGGGTAATAATAATTTTACCGATTCATAGAAAACAAAGCTGCGTTATGCTTGTGTCCCCTCAATAAAAACGTCCTAGAGGAGATTATATGCAACCATTTTTGGGAGAAACATCTGTAAATCCGGAGCTTGGTTGGTGGTTCATCAAAAATCATGTACTTGTTATATAGAAGGTGAACAAGTGTTTCGATGCATTTATCTAAAATATCATTTTTCAAACTCGAATTTAATATTAATTAAAATACTAGTAATATACATGTATAAAAGAAATATACATGTACATGTAGATAAAAAAAAACATAATGTATACATGCATGTATAATATGGATCAAATCATGTGCTAGTTTCTTTTTGTTTACGAAGACGTGCTCTTCAAATGATCGGGAGTTATTCCAGCATGTGTACATCTATTTCGCCAGCTCCAGTTTTGTGAACGGACATTTTCATATACTTTTGACGAATTTTGACACATGTTTGCCAATTATTGAAATCCTAGTACTGAGTAATTTCATAAAAAGTAAAGCAGTTTTAACCCTGGAGAGAACGTAGTCATCCATATACTAGTAATCCGTTTGATTTTCTCTCAACAAATACATTCTTCTCTCCATAAGAAATCTTGGATATGAAGCCGCAATATTTAGTTTCTTCCTACGTCATCGATTTACCTGTCCTAAAGTTACGACATACAGTGTAACTTAGGAATATCCTGAGATAAGACGAGTTTAGTGAAACGGATAAGTAATGAACTTAGGAAAAAGTTCTTTCCTAAGATATTACTTAGTCCTAAGTAGGCTTTGTGAAACGGGCCCCTGGTCCAAATTGTAGTATTTTCCTACTTTATGTAATTTTTATGCTCTGTTCCAAAATTGTAACATTTACCAATTTATTTCAATATCAATCCCGAAAGTTTTCTTCATTTTTTTTTATCTTGTAGGAATACAAATGCATAAAACTTGAAGAGCAGCTTGTGAATTTTAATATAAAAAGGTTCAATGTTAAATCTAACAAATATTGATTAAGATTAGAATTTGACTACAGAGTAAGTATATGAAAAAGGTCATTAACAATTTTGTTTCTATAAAAAAGGGGCAATTCATGATTCGTCTGTTCACGATCCATTAGTGCGCGTCACACCCGATCCATTCGTCATTAGATACAAGCTCCATTTTCCAGTACAATGTTATCTACAGCAATGTCTCCTTTAAAGCTTCTTCTTCTGTTCCCGCCAACTTTGGTTCTGATGATGATCTACAACAATTATCTAGTCACTTAATCCCTCTTATCTTTGTATCGTACAAAAATAGTATTCTGTTACACATACATACTTCTTAAAGTACTTAAGTCTACTAGTCAACAGTTCCAAATAAAATACTCTCACTTCAAACATCACCTCTTGGTGTCAGGTCATATAAAACCCGCTTATAAAGAAGAGTCAGGGACGGATGATTATCAATCACAAGTCACCTAAACCCTGACCTCTAAATAGAGTAACAAATAGTGTACTGTAAAACAAAAAGTAAAACCCGCTTATAAAGAAGAGTCAGGGACGGATGATTATCAATCACAAGTCATCTAAACCCTGACCTCTAAATAGAGTAACAAATAGTGTACTGTAAAACAAAAAGTAAAACCCGCTTATAAAGAAGAGTCAGGGACGGATAATTATCAATGACAAGTCACCTAAACCCTGACCTCTAAATAGAGTAACAAATAGTGTACTGTTTAGCAAATAGTAAAACCCGCTTATAAAAAAGAGTAAGGGATGGATAGTGAATACCGTAAAATCCGCTGATAAAACAGAGTAAGGGATGGATAATAAATACCGCTTGTAAGAAGAGTTCATGAACGCAGAATAACCGGGTGTCAAAGTGAAAAACTGGACCTTTTTTGTTTTTTTTATTACATATGTAAGACTTTGAATTGTATTTACTTAGTCCACATTTTAGTAAAGCCATTGTGGCCTCTAGTAATTACTGGTAGTTCAAATTATAGTTTTTAAGTACCTTTGATAAAGGCGTGAGGGTGAGTTCCTTTGAATAATTAAACCAATTTCTCCCCTGGTTTCCACTGTAGATTTTATGCCTTACTTCAGCACTAGTTCCTTCCTTTGTCAAAATCTCCAAGGATCCAATATGATTTCCATACATGGAAATTGCTAGTGTCAGACAATAAGTTCCAGCTAGAAAAAATGCATAGGGTACTACAAAAAATGGCTAAGCAAGTGTACAAAATCTACGATTCAATCTATATTAAATACAATTCAACTAATATTGTACTCTCCTACCATGGTACTGACTATAACCTTTTGTTGCTTTGTGGGTCATGACCTCTTACCTTGAAAATTAACGTTACTTTCCAAGCTAGCCTCGTCGCCTCGGGACCGTGGTGATGATGATTCTGTAAACTTGTAGTAATTCCCTGAAGCAGCACGGCTCGGTCCTGTCCTAGTAGAAGGTGTAGCTCCCTAAAACCATCAAAGTAATCATATTTCAATTCACTGGCAAGTTATTGAAATGTATTTAAACAAATACCAATGCTTTGAGGAGATATATTAGTATAAATTTAGATAGGGATTTAACTCATTTATCATTTACTGGACTTCTACGAGAAGCACCGATTTTTACAATTGACGGTTTACTTGGACATTTAGACCTGTATAATGTTCGGAAGAACAGAAATGATGACAGGTTAAAAAAAAACCTTTCTAATGGTCAAAAGTATGATATTGTCTTAGCCACAACAAAGCCAGGAGTGACCAGTATATGTACATTAAAAAAGTTATTTTCGTTAATTTAAATATCGAGCTAAACATTTATATATAAAAAAGAGCTTTTATATGTAACAGGAGAGAAGATGTATAGCTAGACCTGGAATCGAACCCTTCCTCTCAAGTCAGTTTCTCTACCAACTGAGCTATCAAGGTCGATATTTACGGCCAAAGCCCTTTCATTTACATTGTCCAAAAGCCGTCAACTGTAAAAGTAAGCGCTCCTCGTCCACTTGTACCTTTCTTTCTTTAAAGAGGTCGGGATATAAAATATAAAAA